ACTACCTACCAGTTTGTAAGTATTCTGCTGTTTACTATCCCGGGCTCCACGAAATAATTTTATATTCATTGGTACTATCTTTTGCAAAACTAAATATTTTCTAGTAGAAAATTCCCCTTTTTCATCTGCGGATAAAATACCTATAATGAAGGTGAGCCCATAACTTATCAATATATCAATAGATTCAACATTAAAATTTAAATATAAATGCAAGAACCACTCTTATATTTTAGGTTGCAAATTTATGCCAAGTGCAAAGTATTTCTCACACAGTTATAAACATTTGGCCAGTCAGAACAATATATTTAAATGAAAAGTATTTCTTAATGTGAGTGGCTGCGAAAACAAAATATAAAAGCAAATTAAACGCAGGATATGAAATGCGCGTTTTCAGATAATTTCAATAGACATCGACTTCGACGGTTTTCCTAAAATAATGTAAGCACATATTCTAGGTACTAAATATAATGCACGGGTAAGTGACACCTGAAATCATAAATTAATGTTACAAATGAGTAATGCTTATGAAAATTGTATTAAATTTTTTTAACAATAAATACATTTTTTTAAAATTATTTTTACATAATGTACTTATAATACGTTGATCTACTTTAAACATTATTTTAAGATATATTCTTCTAAGTGTTTCCTGAAATTAACTTATAGTTCTAAGGGTTTTGAAAAAGTTTGAAGACCACCGGACTGAATAATGCAAAAAATTTGTTCAAGGGCTATTGAACGAGATCATGTAAACACTGTGAATAATAGTGTTTTACACTCGGAGACATTTTTTTTATTTCAAGGAAGGTAAATTAAGTCTTTTAGTAGAAATTACTTCCCAGAGACGTAAAACATTAAACTGAATGCCATTAAAAGACTGAACTGTACACTCTACATACAAATGATAACAAAAAGAAAGGGGTTGGGGGAATAAATACATCTTAAATTACAGTAATACCTCGACTAAGATACTTACGCAATTTTCAAATCTCGTCAATCACCTTTTTTTTCCCTTTCCAACACTGGAATTGAGACGAAATTAGTGCCAGAACCTGATGAAATTGGAAATGTGATTGAAAAAGTTGTCGATCTAGCCAGGCAAATACATTTAAAAGGGGATAGTGATGACGTTCAAGATCTGCTGCATCCCCACAATAAGGAGCTGACAGTTGATGAGCTAATAAAAAGACATGAGCAAGATTAAGACTGAAAAGACATGACCAAGATTGGGTCTTTAGTCCCAGTTCAATCAAAATATCGAATGACGGTAGGGATTTTGACAGTAGGCTTCAATTTAAATGAAAAAAGGTTACAAATTGTAGAAAATATAGACTCTAACGAAGAGAGTATTTTTCAACAAAACAAGGAATATAAAAAAATTATCAGCATTCTACGAGGAAATTTATTGAAGAAAAAAGAATGACTTTGAGCTGGGGTGGGCATTACTTTGATCGCGATCGACCGGTAGATCGCCAAGACATTTTGGGGTGACCGCCTAAAAATTTTACTAGTTAATAATTATATACGGAAAATTCTAGATTGGCGGACAGTACGCAGACTTAGCCTTCTACTGAATATAACTACGAAAACTAACTATAGATAACAATATTTTATTTCTTTAATGTATTCTGAATTGTTTCGTAATAAATGTATCGTTTGATAAAATTATATTTGGGGCTATTATTATAAGTTTGTATTGCAATTTTCTTTAAACGTGGTTTTAAAGGTTTTGTTTTTTATTTTAGTTCTGTAGGCAAGTACATATATTCCATATACTCTCTCTCTCTTTTATTATTAAGTTATAATAATAAACTCTTTCCCTTACCTCATCACACCTACGTCATTGGGCAGTGGCGTACACAAGAATTTTTAAAGGGAAGGGTTGTCGTGGGTTGAAGGTCTACCATTCTCCTATCATATCCCAAACATATTTTTTTGATTTTTTCGATTATCGGGAACAAAAATCAGCAAAAAATAAATTACTGAATAAACAATTAGCATTAGTAAATTAAAAAATTACTAATATGAAATACCTAATTACATTTTACATACTATGTACATGGGACTATAATGAATCGGAAGAAAGTGGTTATGAGAGGGTAGGGTCAGAACCCGTAAACCCCTCCCCAACCTTTGTATGCACCATTGACACTGGGTGGACTCTCTTTGAAACTCTTTGACAACTCTTTCAAAATATTACAAATAACAGCACTCTGGAAAAGTCTGCCCACCCCTGACTTTGAGAGTTGGCAGACTACTTTGTTAGATATTATGAAACTTTTTCATCAAAATAACTTCGGTTTGCGATTTTCTATTCGTGTCATCTAAGATTTTCTTAATGGTACATGGTACATGGTACGATTTAAGCAAAATTCTTTAATTTAAGGATCTTCAAAATGTTTTTGGTTGCCTACTATGTGTGTATCTATGTAAAACAGATTTTGTGCTCAAAATTTCATAAAAAGCTAGCCATTTAATTTTTTAAGGAAAAAACTTGAAATTTATGAAGTGATTTTAAAAGGCTACTCCTCCTACAAAAAATTACGTATACGTATGAGATTTGATTTACAAGCACTTTACACTATGCATAACAAAAGTTGGTATGGGTTTTGCGATACCATCATTAGTATTCGTACAATACTTCTTTTTAGGAATGCTTATTGAAAATTCCTTAAAAAATGTACAAATTCTGAGTTCAATTATTTTTTAAAAAATAAATATTGCTTTGATTCCAAAATGCACATACCAACTTTTATTACATGTACTATCAGCAATAGGTAAAAAAAAATTCAAAGCATTTGGCGCAAAAGAAAAAAAAAACTTTAGCATTTTAAATGAAGACAAACTAGTTATTTTATCTTTCCGAGATAAGTAAGTTTAAAATTTTGATATGCCATAGGAATGTGAATAAAAACGAACACAAAAGCTATCATAATTCTGTATTTTTTACGTTTAGAGCTTTCAAATTTTGTTAGGTTATGGAAAAGTGTAAGTAAAATAATTTAAGTTAAAAAAGTTAAATTTGATTTTTTGACCGATTTTTGTCAGTTGAATCGTACTGTATCCCCAGAAACGTCCTCCCCCCCCCTAAATTACTATTTTCATTCGTCTTCGGCCCCAATCTTTGGCCCCAACTAAAAATAGTTTTTATGTATTTACTTGCGAAATCATACCCCGACTTACGCGGGGTACTATCCATCGCGTAAGAGTTCGGCGTATTACTGTACGTCGAATTTTGGGATATGTACTTCTGTCTTGAAAGTAGAATAGCTTTTTTTAAAATGTACGGTTTTTAACCCATCTTTGGTAATTATATCAACTAAATTGAACGTATGATCTTTCAGAACATCAGCAAGTGAGTCCAAAGAGCAGCGATGAATCCACTTCTAATCCAAGTCCTTGTGCTCTCAGTTATAGCTGTAAGCACTGTGATCGCCGTTAAAGGATACGATAATGATTTCGTGAGATTTAATTATAGATCAGATGAGTGTATCTCTACATGTGAGTTTTCTTTTTTGCTTCATTTTTAAGAATATATTGTTGTTGTTTTTTTGCTTTATTTTAAAATATATGTCAAATATGTTTTCAAAAACTGGAAGCGAGATTTAAAAAGAAAAAAAAAACATTTATGTTTGCAATAATAACAAAACAAAAAGCAAAGTGAAAAAAGTCAATTATTTAAATCATTATTTAAAAAATAATTTTTGTCACCCATCCGGTATAGTGGTTAGCGATGCTGACTGCTATGCCGTAGAGCTTGGGTTCGAATCCCGGATAAGGCATGGATGTTTGTAAATCTATAGTGCGCGGCAGGGGGTACTCTAAATAGCCGTCGAGCCGCTAGTCCTCTCGTGAGAATGGAGGAAGGGGAAGAGAGGTGGGAGGCCCCTGACCACTCCCAGGGTGTTATCCCTCAAAATTGGGGTGGAACCGAGCCAAATCATACTGTTACCTGTATGGTGCTCAAATCTACGGCTAACGACAGGCGTACAATATAGCCCAATGCCATGATGAATTCCATGGGCCTCGATCTGACTACGTCAGACAGGTGGCATTAGAAACAACACAACACAGCAACAAAAAATATTTTATAAATTAGTTGCAGGTGTTATGTGATGGTTTAAAATGTATTCAAAACTCATCTTACCAAAAACTTTTTAACATCCTTCTCATAAAACGGACTTATGATTGGAAAATTCCAATGTCATTGTATGTGGTTTTCTATTCTTAATATACCGTAAAATCCGGCGTATAACGCGGATTTTTAATACAAAAAATAAGATCGAAATTTAAGGGTTAAACGTTATACACCGGGTATAAAAATGATAGCCTCAAAAATAATGAAGAGTATTGAAAAATTCTTCATATATCGAAATGCTGTTTATTTGAAAGAAATAACATGTCATATGAACTAAAAGAATTGTAGTTTTAGAAGTATATTATTTTTTTTTCAAAAATTGGCGACAATACCCGAATAAATGACTTCAAAACATAAGAACATTGTATACTAACGTTTCAGATTTCTTCAGTACAAAAGGGGGTGCACGTTATATGGCGAATATACCTTAAATAAAAAAAAATCAGTTTTAAAGTATAGGTGTGCGTTGTACATCGGATTTTACGGTAATTATAAAATATTCACCTGAATTTAATTCTTTAAGCACATAAATTAATTTAAGGTATATGGAAAAAAAAAGTAAATGCATCACGTGATCACAAAATCACGTTACCTTAAATACACCAATGAATCACTGAAAAGCGATTGTTTGAATTGCACTACAAGAAAAAATAATTATTTGAGATAACATTCACAGAAAAATATAATTTATTCTGTTTCAGTTCCTAAATTCGAAAAGCGATTTCCACAATATTTTTTGTCACTTTATATTAATACAGTTTTTTCTAATATTAGTTCATTAATTAAATTACAAAGTGAACAAATAGTAACAAACAAAAATAATAGTCCAACAGCATGTATAGAAAAGAAAATCGATCGCTGTGTCCCTTTAGCGCAACGGATAGCGTGTTGGACTTCTAATCCAAAGGTAGTGGGCTCGAATCTCACATGGGATGGCCTAATTGCTGATAATGTGATTTCTTTTCTACTATACTATTTTATTAGAATAATTGAATTTAATTAATGAATACATATTAACACAAACAAAAAAGTAATTCAACACCACATATACAAAAGAAAATGGAAAATCGGTATTTATTTTGTCACTTAATATTGTGATTCTGTCATATGTATATACATATTTATATTAATTGTAACTATTGAATAAAAAGTAAATAAAAGAAACATTTTCTTAGTTGACCGAAGTAGGAATTGATTAAATTTTTTTTTTATATTACTTGTTTTTCTTAAAAAAATTTTAGTCTAATTTCAAACACACTGAAACACATTTAGTGTATAATGTTGCAAATTTTCTTTCTGCAGACATGCAGTATTCATTTATTATTTACTTATTTATTTAAAAAAAGTGTGTTTAATTCAGCTCATTATTATTCACGTTATTATTCGAAGGTATCTTATAAAACTCTCGACAATTCGAACACTCAATATCATGTACAGTCCTGTAGCAAACAGTTTGGAGCTTACAAGTTTTGTTTTGTATTGTCTCTGCGTGTCTCCCATGTAATGTAGTTCCTGTAATGATCATCTGTCTGTTGCCCCTTCTTAGTGTTTTCCGGTTGATCAGGCGAAAATACACATTTATTGCTTTCCTTCTTCAAGTGGACAATAGACCACCCCCACCTGTTGTCAGTCGTCCATTCGTGTAACACGTGACCTTGCTACACATGTGTTCAGAAACGATGGTTTGCTATTGTGAAGAAGAGATGCGCGTAGGATTGTGTATGAATGTATTGAATATATTCTTTTAATACAGGACTTTTAACTTCTGAAAATATTTATACTGTATATAATATGTACTTTTTAAAAATACTTTAAAATAATTTTATACGCATGTAAAATTGTTGTTTTATTATATAGTTACAAATTTAAATTTGGTAGAGAAAACTTTCTTCGTTTATTTTGAGAATTTTTTATACCCTCTTGATAATTTGAACTCTTGATATTTCAAAGTTTTTTTTCATTGTTCCCTCGTATACAAAATAGATGCAAGTTTATCTTTAGAGTTAGCTTTCAGATTTTTTCGTAATTCCGTAAAAGTCCATAATTCTGAAGATAAGAACTTTACAAATTTATCAACTTCCATCTACTCAAAAACTTGAGAAATTTGTAGAATAGTGCAGAGTGCCACTGAGAATTGTACCGCGTACTACATGTGACACGCGTGCCATAGGTTGTCGACCCCGTCCTAGAAAAAAAAGGTATAAGTTACATATTTAATTTTATTTTACTATTCCATATTTTTTTTAGTTTGGAATGTTTTTACCTGAAAATGCAATGATAATATTCGTGTGTGGACATGTTTTATCCTCATAATATCATCTGCATGTAGCAAGCCAGTTTCATTTGATATTTTTCCCGTTAAGCTTTTTTATTTAATTAAAAGTCTTATAATAAATTAATTACTGTTGCTTTTTGCAGCTGGGAATCAAAATCTATGTGACAAACTTCAAAGTTGTATTCAAAAACTTCCAACAACGGTAAGTAAAAAAATGCAGTTAAAATTTCCAATGATGCTTTCACGCGTTTAGTATATATAAAACATATCTTAAAAATTTTATGACTTTTGGTTTTCATTTAAAGTTTATTCTTCAATGTTAAAAATAATGTTCCATATTTAAGAAAATGTCACAGTTTCGAATATTTATAGTTGTCTTTAATTTAAAACTCGTTTTATCGCAATCGTTTTTTTTTTTTTGGAATTCTCCTTTAATTTAATATGCACGTTAATTTTGAATGACTCAACATTTAAATATATTAAATGCATAAACGAAAAGATACGTCTTTAAAACGAAGAAAGAGGACCAGGTTTGTTTGTTTTTGATTCAAGAGAAATATTCTTGTATTTCCTTTTTATTAACGGGGATTCCATAATTTCTCTAAAATTAATATTTTTGCGTTGTTAAACTGAAATTTTTAATATTAAACACAATGGTTATGAACACTAATGTCCTCTGAACAGACTCCCTATTGATATCATTTCCGCAAGAAAGAATATGGCTTGAACAAGAAAGCTTGAGCGACAGACACGTCTTTTTGGACATCTATCGGTCTTTTACACTCACCATTAAAACTGCACCATAAACACCATACGACCTTCCTGTCAGATGAGTTTTGGAACTTTGTCGAAAATGTCTAAATCATAGGTTCCCATCCTTTTTGAACTGGCACCCCTTTTCTAATGAATATTTCAATACCACCCCTCAAACTCTAGAGAAATAAGAGTATACATAGTGAAAACAAGAGTTAAATTTTTTAAAAATATTCTATTACTAATAGATTTAAAATTATTTTTTTTCTAAAGCCCCAATTTTTTTACTTGCGAATCTGAACTAGTTATTGCCACAAATATACTTAAATGTGTAATATTATATATTATAGCCATAGACACACACACACACAGGATATTGTTGGAATTGAAACGCGTGCTACTGAATTTCTTCTTCATTTAAAAGAGTGGAAGAAAAGTTTTAGCTTATTTATTATAAAGACTGGCAGGGGTCTTAATAATGCGAAGTAATTCATAATAAACTTTTGCTTTCTAAATAAATATAAATTGATGTTTCAGCCTTTAGGAATCACACGTTAATTCCTGGTCAATATATTTCATTATGTTTATTGGATAATATGTGAAATGAAAGGCAGTGGACGAAACAATTTCCTACTGCTCACAAAGACAACATGTGCACTACAGAAATTAAAATGCACAATAACATTCAATTTAATATAGGTCTGAATGTAATGTGATCCTTAAGTTTTTCATCCACTTACCAAACTACCGAAATATATGAATTTTCGTACATGTGATATAGAAATAATTTAAATACATACAATCAACATAAAGTAAACAGTATTAAAGTTTACTTTTGCTGGTACATAATCAGCGTGTTTTCTTAGTCTTTGTTTAGACTATATTTGGTTAATCTGCCGAAGCCCCTTTGTACCATCTCAATGCCCCCTAATTTCATCGAGTCTTTTACTGCTCCTCCCCCTGAAAGCCTCAAACGACCACAAGGGGCGTTATCGCCCACGTTGAGAACCTGTGGTCTAAATTTTAAAAAAAAGATGATAGCAAGCGTTCTAATCGTAGCATTGATGAGAAAGCAATACAGTTCGTTCTATTTTAGCTTCATGTATTTACGAGACGGGAGATGACGAGAAGTACTCCTCAAGGTGACAATTTTTTCAAAAGTTGAATTTTGGAACGACTCCAGTAATTCTACACTCACAAGATGAAGTTTCGATTTTGAAACGCGTCGTCAAACGGAGAACTGAGAACACAAAATAAGCACTCTGATCATGAAGTGAGTATTATATTAAGGTTTCAGTATGAAGCTGCAAGAGGACTATTGGCGACGGAATTCGTAATTTTGAACCATGATCTTGAGCTGAGGACGACACCTAACCCGGCACCCCCTCTCCAACAATGAGGACGTGTGAGTCTCAGCAGATTTAAAGTGCATCGACCCCCTCTGTACGGTGGGTTTTCAGTGGTACCATTTTCGAACTCATGACACGCCATCCACTACTTCTTCACCTTGATCACTGGACTACTGTGGCCACCCCTGTCTATGGAGGGAATAGATAAAATTGCTGATATCTGCAAATAAATAAATAAAATAAAACACAACCTAAGTGTCGAATGCGTTTAAAGGGACTATGTAGCATGTTTAAAAACAGAAGACATATTCTTCAGCATTACGAAAATAACACGAAATTGACATTGCGGAAACTTAATGAGTTTTAAGTTCTGATATTATTTTCTCAATGTTTCGCGGGATTAGTAAAATATCGAAGTATAACAGTTCTAAGCATCTCCAACTAATTAGAAAGGTAGTTGTAATTTTACTTTTTGTGCTAATCGCTTGTAATGTTTCAGCTTCTGAATAATTTCAATGAGTGCGTCAGTCAGGTTTATCCTCATGGCAAGTTAGGAAAATGCAATGACCAAGAAAATTTGTTTGGAACAAATAAGCAATTAAAACAGGTAAGGAGCATTGTTAAATTTTTTCATATTAACCCCTTGAGTACTAGTGGATACGTGCCATATATAGGGCACACAAAAAATCCCATCGTAAACTCATGTGAATACATGGCTTATTTAGGGGTAACCAGCATAACTAGCCAAATAAACATTATAAGGCAGATTTTCTTTTATTGGGATTGTGTACAATTACAAAAGTTAAGTTACATAATGTCTAAATTTCAAAAATTTGGAAAAAAAAACAGTATAAAATTAGAATTAAAATTACGAATCTTTGTGAAATTGCTTGAAATGTTCTTTGGAGTAAAAAGCTTTTCCACATGCGTTACAAAAGTGTATTGTCATTTTTGTTCTTTTTCTTTTTCATCTCAAGTATATAAAGCCGTATCAGAGTCACTGAAGTATTCATCAGTTTCCGGCAATTATTTTCTTTCGGATTCACTTTCGTGGAAATCCAACGGCGATGCCATATTTTCAAGGAAAAATAAAAATAAACAAACAAAAAATAGTTATACAAACTTTAGAAAGAGTGAAACGAAACAACACGAACGTGCGTTTTAAGGGGACATGTTATGATTTAAACAAAATGCTTGATTTTAAATTTTTCACAAATTTTTGGTTGTCATCTATGTATATGTTTAATGTAAAACACACAAGAGTCTGTGCTCAAAATACCACATAAAACTAATCATATGATGTTTTAAAGAAAATATTCAAAATTCATTTAGCTGCTTTAAAGTGCTACTCCTCCTACAATAATTGATGTACGCACATGAAATTTGATTTACATAAGTGCGTTGAAATACTTATAACAAAAATTACTATGGGTTTTGTGATAACATAACTATTTGTAAAATACCTTTCTTTATTATACTCATAGAAAATTCCTTGAAAAATGCTTTTTGATTTTAAAAATGTGCATACCTATTTTTGTTACATTTATAAATAACAAGT